GGTGTTTGCCTAGGGTTAGGGTTAAGTTTAGTGTTTAGTTTGCGTTTAAAGTTAGGGTCGCGGTTCCGTTTAGCACTATGCCCAGGGTCGGGTTGAGGGTTAGGTCTAGGGTTAGACAGAGGGTTAGATTTTAATCGAGGGTCTTGGTTAGGTTGAGGGCCAGCATTCAGTTAGGTGTCTGGATTAGGGTGAGGGCAAGCATTAAGTTAAGTTTCCGGGTTTGTGCTAGGTTTAATAGTGAGTCTGGAGTTAGGGTTAACGTCAGGCTTAGGGTTAAGGTCGGAGTTTGTGTTAGTATCAGGTTCAGGGAATGAGCTCAGGTTTAAGTTTAGCTTTAGGGTTTTGGTTTGGGCTACTGTCCGGCCTGGGAGCGAGTTTAGGTCCTCTCCTTCTACGATCAGTAATGTCTTCGGTTGTGCAAAATTATAGGCAAATTAATCAGTTAAATTTACTACCCATAAATATATTATATTTTTCTGGTAATTACTAACTTTCCCTTACATCTTTACTTAAAATACTATCACAGTCTCAGGACCTTATCATTTAGCCCTTAGTCCACCATCTGGGTAACACTTTTCTTGTTATCAGTTATTTTCCATAAAATGGCAATTATTGTCGTTTTCATACCTTATCATAGCGGTTTCCGCGCTGTTATTTGGTTCGTTATTTATTTCGCACTGTTCACACCCACGATCTACGGCATTGGCGTCCCCACCACATTCCCACTGGTTCGCGTTGCAGTCCGCTCATTTTCGGCGACCTTGGCCGTCCATTTGCATTTTTTGGGAATGGGACTTGGTTACCTTAGGTTACCTTACCCTATTTTCAAATTGTGCGATCGTTACATTGACTTTTTAGCCTACATTCAAACAAATCGCTGTACTTTTAGGGGAGTACTTGTCAGTATATAATCGCAGTACCACTTCCTACGTGTTTTCGTTCTGCATCAACCGCAAAACCCCTATTACCATGGTTCCCGTATTACGCCCGCTTATCCTTGCGTTTTTGGGACCCGGACGGCGTAAACGAGCTTTGACCAGGAAATTGTTCCCATAGGCACCAGTGGCCTGCATAAACCTAGCTACAGCACTCGAACCTCAGCCCTTCAGTTGTACAACAACCTTGTTAATACGTGGTTCGCCGGATGATGTTTTGGTGGCGCGGCTCACTGCGGAGATTCCTTCCTGTGGACCCGTCTCTCCTCTTCCAGCCTCCCGCACGTTAGGTTTAAAGTCTTAGATGGTACCGGACGGCCGACGAAGGCTCATTTGCTGGTGCGTAACATTCGTCATACCAAAATACCGTTGTGACGGGCTACGTTTTCCCACATAGTCTGTTTACCATATGGATGCCCAACCACGCCTGAAAGCCCTATCGCCGCATACTTCCTGACTGTTTACCTGTCCCATCCCACGAACTAACACCTGATGCAAGGTGTTCCAGCATTTGCTGCTTGTGTTTCTGCCAGGTAGGGCGCAGTCAGACTACATTGCGAGCTCTGCCCGGTTGGGATACTTGTCCTCCCAGAAAAATGTTTCAGATTACAAGTAGGTAGCAGGATGTTTCTGCACGGTCTGGTGCCCATTATCAGTCAGCCGTAGGTGCTTCGACTCATGTTAGAAGAATCCGAACTTCAAACTCTACGCCGTTGCGCCAAGGTGCATATGAGGCTCCACGTGGCCTCCTCCTCCATTGGCGCACATTGTTCTGCTTTTACACAAGAAACGGAACATTTTGCCGACGAAAACTGCCTTCTTCCACTATTTGGGCTACTTTAATAGCGTTGTCTTCCGAGGGCGGAGAATTATTTTTGAAAAATAAAATTCATGCAACGACTGTTGAGTTTAGAAATGATGAAGTCCGGATTTTTTATTTGAACTAGACATGAGTATTCAGGAATTTTATTGGGTATTTTGTCTCCTTCGAAATAAAGATTCACTTTATCTATAATGGTCGAATACAAGATGGCCAGAAGTTCAGACGCAGAGCAACTTTAGTTTCAGCTTCTTTTCAGAATTTAATGCGCTCATTTGGAGTAACTTCTTTGAGCTAAACCTCTTCAGACTCGATCCGGAGGTTTTACTGAATATGTGAGTCGAACTTCATTAGTTTCAGAGGGATAACCATGTAATAATTAATAAGCTGTCGACTGGTAGTCAGAAACATGCATGTTTCGCTATACTGACAGCAGAATGCATGTCTGGGCTTTTAACTAGAGCCTATGCTGTTAGTAATGTGAAGCATGCAACTTTGGTGGATGAGGTAGGGGAATACGGGCTCGCCGTAGTACAGGTGACCTTGCGTTAAATCCCAGAGGGGGACGGGGGTAGGGTTAGGAGGGTTGGGATTGGGGCTACAGTTAGAACGTAGGAATAGACACCTTTCTTAATTCATACATATTTTGGCAGATTTTGAATAATTCATATCGACCCAACTGTGAATTATTCGAGTAAGAATCTAAAAAGTCAGGCAAATAAACTTCTCGTCCCACTGATCGCATCTTCTTCTTTTTATCATGAAATGATAACTAGAACTCGCCTGTTCGCTTCTATTGGCGGATGATTGAAAAATCAGACAATTTTAAAGCGTCCTCTCTTGCTGCATGCTCAGTGGCATTGGCCTTTATCACTCAGGAAACCCTGGACTTGGGTGAAAATGAATGAAACTTGCGCTGAAGTGAACGCGTATCTGGGGACTTATAGTGTAATTTCCTGAGAACCATAAATTTGTTCGACGAATTCTTCTTTTTGATTTTGAATGAGTCAAACGCTGAATGTTCACTTGTCAAGCTAGTTAAAAGTACTTTGGGGTCCGGTCAAAAGGCAAATCGCACTGATAAGGCATGAAATTCTGACAATATGAACACAGAAGAATTCGTTTCAGCTTTAGTGCCCTGGACTGGAGTCCACACTGGCCTAGTGAGCAAAATGTTCGGAGTCAAGTAGTTGGTCTTCCAGGAAAAATGTCGGTGCGTGTCCAGATTATGACGGCAATCAAGTCAAAAATAGCCTGACCACGACGAATTAAGCAAATTCAACTTCTACGATCCTCAACTCTTGAGATGAATCAACCAACTTAATCCTTAAACCGTGCCTTAGTGAAAGCGCGTGATTCGCAAGAAAAGACCTGGCCTCATTCCTCCTCATTGATACATGCTGAGCAGTTTACTTCGAGCGAACCTTCCAAATCTTAGAGCTACTAATTTCTCTACAAACAAAACAAATTCAGTAAACGACTCATGACGCTGACTGTCGTGGCAGTGACGCCTTCCCTCTCATTGTTTGGCATAAATTTATGGCCTCCGGCTGCACATGATACAGAAACCTACTGATGAAATAGGGTTGCTAAAGTTTTCCAAAAAACCCCAACATAGTAATGTAAAATATACTCCGGGCGATGCTTAGTATCTCGCTTCATCTTTTTTTTCATGCTGACTAACCCTTACTTGGTATATCCACTGAGGACATTGCAATTCGAAAACCAGATTTCGTGATTAGTTCAGTACGAGTCACCTCGGTTACTACCAAGAAATCGCCTTTCTATTCTTATCGGCTGCTTGTATGGGTACCTCCACAGAAACATTAGCTGATAGTAATCTTTGACACCTAGGAGGGTGTAAGCCAAATATTACCCAGATTATTCGGTAGATTACAATAAAATTTCCTCCGAAACATCAGTTCTGTAGTTGGGAATTTATAGAAAACAAACACAGGCTCGTGAACTGGTCTTCTGAAGAAATAATGCATTGGGAACTTACCCTTACTGGCGTTGACGGCGACTCGATTATTAATCCAACACGTCCGAAATTGATCGGATTTACTTCATCATCTCAGATACTGCAGGAGCATCACTTTGAAATAGTATATTACGTACCTACTGAAACTGAATAAGTAGGGCGTTTACCAACACTACACTTGAGACGGGGTCAATCAGCGTTCGAGAAGGGTTCGCCAGTTAGAGCATGACTTCGTCGAAGTTGTAATTGTGAGAGTCAGAGCTGATTAATCAGTTGTAGAACTCTCATCATTTGTAACTTTTGCTTATTTAGGGAAAAACGTGCAACTATGAAGAAGGAGTAGGGGTCCTGTCTACGCGTTGGTAACTGCCGACATGAGAAATGACGAATCTCTAATTTTACCTTTTGACTTCGCTCTAGGGCTTGCAGGAGGTGGCCGGGTGACAGCTCGACCGTCGTTGCCGATGATGGCCACTGAGTGCTCCGCAGCAAGATGGAGCAGGCATGGTGACTTGCACATGGAGTAGTTTGCAGCTGGAGCGGACTTTCATAATATCTACCGCACTCCTCCTCCTCCTACTCCTC